CACGTAGGGATGGCAAATTACCCACCCATGGGTAACTATACCCAAACCCAAGTAGACCCATTGATAAAGGGTTGGGTATGGGTGAAGTGCATATGGATTTGGGGGTTTATAGATGGGTTTGGGTAAGGTATGAATATTGCTTCCATAATCTAAATGGGTATGGGTTGGATATGGATATCCATTTACTTGAGGGTGTTTTAACTACACATGCAAAAATTGGACCTATTTGTAAAAATTGAAAAGTTTAGGTACCAAAATGTAAGACCAAAATAATTTAGGTACCAAATTGTAATTTTTCATCGATATTTTGAGGAATTATATGCAAAAAAATTAAATTTAGGTAGTAAATATGCATATCTATTAAGTTTGGGTACCAAACTGTAATTTGTACTTGGGCGTGGGTACAAAACCAAATCCATTTTATATAAACCCAACTCAACCCAAAGTAAATGGGTATGGGTACAAATGTGAACCAAGATCAAATCGAGAGAACAACACCGAATTAACGTGGTATCCTCAACGTGTATCGTTGAGACTAATCCACGGAGAGGGCCAACCTCTCAGAGTCAATCGTATAATCTTGCCAAAGAGTTCTTTTGTTAGTAATCAACTTATATACTCCACCGTCTAACCCTATCTCGACTTATACGTAATTAACCTAATATAGACTAATTACAATTTGCTATCTATACTTCTAACACCCTCCCTCAAATTGATGGTGCTTCCGCAACATCAATTTGTGTTCTAGAAACCAGTGTCGTGAGGTAGCAACAGCTTTGGTAAGCATGTCCGCAGTCTGATCCTCCGAAGTAATGTAGGATAATAGAATCTGACCTTCTTCAACTAGTTGTCGGATATAATGAACATGAATCTCAATGTGCTTCGTACGGTCATGAAGCACGGGATTAGTAGCAATCTTAATGGCACTAGTATTGTCTGCATATAGACGCATAGGAGAAGAACTGACCAAACCAAAATCAGCCAACAAGCAAAGCAGCCAGACAAGTTCAGAAGTGACCTCAGACATCGAACGATATTCAGCTTCTGTTGATGACTTTGACACACGATCCTGCTTCTTGCAACGCCAAAAAATAAAGGATGATCCCACTTTCACACACCAACCAGACGTGGAACGTCGGGTATCCTGACACCCGGCATAATCAGCATCGGCATACACCTCTATCTCTAGAGTCCCAGTCGGAGGAAAAGATAACCCAACATCCTGTGTCCCACTGAGATGACGCAAAATACGCATAACAGCAACAAGATGGGGGGACCGAGGGGCGGACATGAACTGACTGACCACCTGAACTGCATATGCTATATCAGGGCGAGTATGCGTTAAGTATATCAGACTCCCGACTATGCTCCGATAAAGAGGACCATAAGGTAAGATCTCACCATCATCTCGGCGCAATCTCAAATTCTATTCCATGGGCGTGGCGCAGGGAACACATTCTTCCATGTGTGCCTGCTCCAGCAGATCTACTACATATTTTTGTTGACCAACAAACACACCTGCGGCTGATCGATGAATCTCCAGCCCTAAAAAATATGATAGATCCCCTACCTCTTTGAGATTAAAAGCATCTCTTAGAACCCCAGTGAGAAACTCAATTCCATCCTGGTCATCACCACTAATGACCATATCATCCACATAGATAAGAAGCACAGTAAGACCACGAGAGGTCCTCCGAAGGAACAAGGATGGATCATTATCACTTTGTTGGAACCCAGCCTGCAAAATCGTACTCTGGAATTTTTCAAACCAAGCTCGGGGCGCCTGTTTCAAACCATAAAGAGACTTACGAAGTAAGCAAACCTTTGACTTGTCCCCATTCAAGTACCCAGGTGGACACTCCATATAGATCGTCTCTTTCAGATCGCCATGTAAAAAGGCATTCTTAACATCCAACTGTGTCAACCTCCAACCCTTCATGGCTGCAACAGCAAACAAAGTCCGAACTGTCTGCATTTTAGCTACCGGAGCAAAGGTCTCCTTATAATCAACACCAAACTCTTGACGAAATCCCTGAGCGACGACCCTTGCCTTGAACCTTTCTAGAGACCCATCGGGATGCATCTTCACATTATACACCCACTTCGAGCCAATGATCGGATGACCAACAGGACGCGGGACAACATCCCAAGTGTGTTGAGCTTCAAGAGCGCGAGTTTCCACAGCCATAGCCTCATCCCAGTCAGGATGACCATGCACCTGCTTATATGTAGCAGGAATAACAACAGGAGTTGTGGAGAAGGCAACGTAGTCCGCCATCCGAACAGGGGCTTGGCCCCTTGTGCTCCGCGTTGACCGGCGAAGAGGAGGATCAGGGGGCGTGCTCGGTGGAGATAAATCATGAGGAGAGGAATCAGAGTGGGAGGTAGCTGTAGAGGAAGCAACCGAGGAAGTGGCAATGGAGGGACTAACTGATGATGCAGACGAAGTTGATGGAGATTGCTGGCCCGTGGGAGGAAATGGTGGATCATTATCACCTGACTCATCCGCTGAACTCGAAGGAACAGGAGAGTCCAACTCCGGAAGAAGAAAGGCTAAATCTTCACGAGACCCCTGCGCATGTCCATCATAGTAATTCATGTGCTCAAGAAAGGCCACATGACAAGAGACCCGTATACGGCGATTAACTACATCATAACAAACGTAGCCCTTGTGGTTGTCACTATATCCCACAAACACACACTTAACAGCTTTAGGAGCAAGCTTATGACGCTCACGACGGGGCAGCAGAACGTAGCAAACACAGCCAAACACCTTCAACCAACTATAGTTCGGACGCTTATCATACAGGGCCTCATACGGACTTCGATGAGACAAAACTGGAGTAGGCTGCCGATTGATAAGATAGACGATCGTATGAATAGCCTCAACCCAGAAGGTCGAAGGAACACCGGAGTGAAAGAGAATTGCCCGAGTGAGCTCGAGAACATGCCTATGGCGTCGTTCAACCAGCCCATTCTGTTGGGCACACCAGGACAGGACTGCTGAGGTAGAATCCCACGAGCCTTAAAAAGAGCGAGAAGAGGACCAGAAGTAAACTCACCACCTGGATCGGAACGGAGTATCTTAACCTGACGCCCAAATTGAGTATGTATCATCTGTAAAAACTCAGTAGCTACTGCGAGTAGATCAGATTTCTGTTTAAGAAAATAAACCCATGCAAATCGCGTGGCATGATCAATAAACAGGGCAAAATATCGATAGCCCATACGCGACGTAGTGGGCGAGGGTCCCCACAAATCTATATGCACTAAGTCAAATGGTTCAGAATAAACCGTAGTGCTTGAACTAAAGGACTGCTGAGATAATTAGCTTCCACACAATGCACACAAGTACTAGAACAATCCGCAGAATAAGAACCAGATAAGAATTTGTTCTTAAACATCTCAATCAACCGAGCAGAATGAGGGTGACCCAGTCTACGGTGCCACAAATCCCAATTTGACATATTAACCGAAAACCCAACTGACTGAACTGACGAATTAAAAAAAGCACTACTCGCAGCTTCACGAGCTGTCGCCGACTCCAACACTCCTGAATCCAAGCTGCATGCATCCACCTCCGGCAAACAGACTTCAGATGACGATGAGGCACAAGACTCATCCAGCTAATCCAAGGTGTACACTCTCCCGCGTTTACTCCCGTGGCCTATCTCCGTCCCCGTTCTCTTGTCCTGCACAATGCAACCATGTGCATCAAAAATGACACGACACCCATTCTCAGCCAACTGCCCCACTGGCACAAGATTAGGGACTAGTTTGGGAACATAAAGAGTATCCCAGAGATTTAAACTTGAACTACGAACAGTGCCAACACCATGAGCTGGTAAACAAGCACCATCTGCAACCTGGAGCTTAATAGAGCTATTCAGACTAAGAGTACTAAAGGAGGATAGAGTACTCCTCATGTGATTAAAAGCCGCTGAATCAAGAAGCCAAGTACGAGAGGGACGAGAAGGCGTACCAGCTGTAAACACAGACCCCAATGCGGAAGGAAGAATGTCACGAACAACCTCATTTAACATGTGACGTATAGTCTCTTGTGTTATACCCATACCAGCTGGGGCATGAGCCACATCAAAGGCACCACCAGTTGGCGTCGCGCGAGCAAAAGCACCACCAGTTGGCGCTGCCCGAGAAGAGGAACCCTGAACACCACGGCCTCGGCCTCGGTGAGCTAGAATCGGACAGGCTCCGATTTTGTGACCATCTGCCTTACAATAATTACAAGAGTTTCTTTTCGGGCAATGGAGTTGAACATGGCCTGGCTCCCGGCAGTGATAATAGATAACCTCATTGAAAGATGAACGCTGAAACCGCGGTCGCTCGGGCCTAACCGCAAATGCCGGCGAAGCAGTAGAACTATCACCCACTGCAAAAACAGCAGTAGAGTCTGCACCGTGAAGATCCAACTTAGCCTAACTCCTTAAGCGAGTTTCCTCGCGAACTAACTCTCCCAAAACATCTTTAAGTTTTGTAATATTCCGATGAAACAAGGAGGATCGAATACCTTCAAATTCAGGTCGGAGAGGGCCAACCTCTCAGAGTCAATCGTATAATCTTGCCAAAGAGTTCTTTTGTTACAACAATGACGGCAATCAACTTATATACTCCACCGTCTAACCCTATCTCGGCTTATACGTAATTAACCTAATATAGACTAATTACAATTTGCTACCTATACTTCTAACAACAAACTCATCAAACTCTACCCATATCCATCTATTTAGATTTCATATCCTACCCAATTGGGTTGGATAGTAAGAAACTCATAGGTATGGGCAAAGTTACCATCCTAACTACACGTGATCAACATACATGCACCATAATAAGTAGAGTCCAGCCTGAGTGGTTCCTCGTGTTGAAGAGGGATATTTGGAGATGCTTTGTACGACTCCGATGTCGGCTAGTAAGATGTAACATGTAATTTCTGAACCGATTATAAGATTGGAGAACAATGAGGCATATTCCACCAACAGCTGCAGAAATTGCATCTCTTATTATTTTCATGTATAGTTATGTTCTGGTGTACCTCTTTTCTGAAATTCCAGCTTGTAGCTAAAAGTAAAAGTACAGTTACTGGCCTATGCACTAACTAACTAACTAACTAACTAACTGATAATGAACCAAACCATGCACACATCTTGCACACTATTCTAGACAAGACTGTGGTCGCTATCCAATTTATGTGCCGTTGGGGTCGCCGAGCCTTAATGAAAGATCAAATCGCCCTGCCCTCTGCCCCTGGATGGAAACCATCCAAATTCCGTCGGGCAAAAGGAAAGAATGAATGGGAGACTGGTGCCCTTCAGCATTTCTTTCGCTCGTGGTAACTATCAACATTTTCTTTCTAATCCCCCGACTAAGCTCTTTGCCTAGACAGACTGTCACAGCTCTCTAGCTCGTCGGAGGTTTCTTCTTGGAAATACGGCGCGAGCTTCCCTTGCTTCTTCCCGGACCTCAACTTCATCTCTTTCCCAGCTTCTTGCAGCATCTTGACGACCCGCCGCATCGAAGGGCGGCTTATGGGAAGAGAGCCTGTGCAACGAAGACCCACATCCAGAACCTTGCAAATTTCCCCCCTGAAGCCGGAATCCACAAGCTTTGGGTCGATCACTTGATCCACTCCCTTTTGGTCTAGTGTAGAGTAAACCCATTTCACTAAATCTTTCTCCCCAAATTCCGGGTCTATTGGAAGCCTCCCTGTCACTAGCTCCAGTATCACCACTCCAAAACTGTAGATGTCGCTCTTCTCGTTCACCCTTAACGTGTACGCATACTCTGCATCCATAAAAACAAACCACCACCAGAAGCCGTGGAGTTCAAGTAGCAATCATATAACATTGAATTGCAGTAGAGAAAGGATGTTTGTTCTGTACCTGGTGCAATGTAGCCATAGGATCCTGCAATTCCTGACATGGATTGAGTCCCTTTGTTGACTCCTTGAACAATCTTAGCAACTCCAAAATCTGCCACCCTAGCTCCGAAATCTCGATCCAGCAAAATGTTGTTGGATTTCACATCACGATGAACAATGGGAGGCACACAGTCATGGTGCAAGTAGGACAAACCCTCAGCCGCATCAAGAGCGATCTTGAACCTCGTAGACCAATCCAGCAACCTCCCTCCTTTCGCACTGTGCAACAGATCTCCCAAGCTCCCATTCGGCATGAACTCGTAGACCAGTAGCTTACAGTCAGCAGCGTTGAAGCAGCACCACAGCTTGACAATGTTCTTGTGCCTGATCTTCCCCAAGGTGTCCACTTCCACTTCAAATTCATCTTTCTCTCCACCGGAGTCAATGTTCTTCCCCATCTGCCCTCCCCCGTAGAGCTTCTTCACCGCCACGGTTTCCCCATTGCTAAGAACAACCTTGTAGACCTTCCCTGAAGCTCCACTCCCTATGACGTTGTCTTCTTGGAGGTAGTCGAGGATCTCGCACTCGCTGAAACCAAGCTTGTGGAAAGATCGCCATTTGGATATTACAATGCATGCTTTGACTTTCTTTAAGCTCCGGAACTTGAAGATGAACCAAGTGACGCCAAGGATAAATATTAAAGCAGTGGTTACGAGAATCAATCGAAGTATCCATAGATTGCTCATCCTCCTTTTGGGTTCTTGTTTTTGTGGACAGAGACCTTCCATGTCCCCACACAAACCTGGGTTCCCTAGAAAGCTGTTCTTGTAAATCTGCTTGGCAAACATGGGAGGGAGATCGCCTGAGAGCCTATTGTTGGACAAGTTTAACAAGTTAAGCTTCAACTTCTGGAGATCTGTTGGGATTTTGCCTGAAAACCGGTTCCCTGAAAGATCAAGATAGTTGAGCACCGGCAAGCTTCCTAGCCCGTCTGGGATTTGGCCGGACAAGTTGTTGTTGGCCAAATTGAGCTCAAACAAGCTGTTCCAACCTTGAGCTCCGGCGGGAAACTCCCCAGACAATTCATTGCTGCTCAGAACCAGCCTGCCGAGTTGATTCATCTGCGCCAAACTCTGCGGGATTCGGCCACTGAGTCGATTATGGCTGGCCGCGAATTCAATCAAATTCCCCAAAAACCCCAGCTCGACAGGTATAGGACCTGAAAACTGGTTCCTCGACATAAGCAGAAGTGAGAGGTTAAAAGCAGAGGAAACTTTCCTGGAGATTTGGCCGGTCAAGGAATTCCCGTCGAGCTCAAGCAAGTACATCCCGGGGAGTCCCCACATGTCGTCGGGGAGCGGCCCGGACAAGCGGTTGTTCCTCAATCGAACTCGACCCAAGCTACGACATTTCCCGAGATGTTCGGGGATGTTCCCGGAGAAAGAATTGTAGATGAGAATCAGATCGTCAAGCAGTCCTTTGGCGCACAAATTCGGTGGGATCCCACCGGAGAAGCCATTGTAGGAGACGTCCAGCCGCATCAGCGGGGAGTTGAGACCGAGTCGAGCGGGCAGAGTCCCGTTCATCTGATTATTGAAGAGCTTGAGCTCGTACAAGTTGGGGGAGCTGGCTATACTCTCGGGCAGGCTCCCTTGAATCCGATTCTCGAACAAATTGAGCGACTCGAGGTCCAGCCCACAGAGCTCGTCGGGAATGGTCCCGGTCAAGTTGTTCATGGAGGCGTCGAAACGCCTCAAGGTCGTGAGATTGGAGAAGCCCTGGGGCAGAGCGCCGGTGAGAGAGTTGTTGTAGAGCTCAATCTGGACTATGCTGGTGAAGCGAGTGAAGGAGGGCGGAATGGAACCGGTGAGGCGGTTGTTGGTGAGGTCGAGATTCTGCAGCTTGGGCAACCGGGCGAGCGAGTCCGGGATGGGGCCCCGGAGGTTACAGTCGGCGAGCCAGAGGTAATCGAGATTGGTCAAGTTGCCGAGCTCGGCGGGCAAGGGACCCGCGGAATAGGGATTGTAAGCAAGCAGGAGCTGCTTGAGGGTGGTAATGTTGCCAAGCTGAGGGGGGATGGTGCCGGTGAGGAGATTGCCGGCGAGTGAGATCCACTCGAGGCTGCGGAACTGGCCGAAGCGGGCGGGGATCTGGCCGGAGAAGCTGTTCCCCTGGAGGTCGAGGTGGCGGAGGTCGGGGAGGTCGGCGAGAGCGGGCGGGATGGGGCCTTGGAGGAGGTTCTGGGAGAGGTCGAGGAAGCGGAGGGCGCGGCAGGCGGAGATGGCGGCGTCGGGGAGGGAGGAGTTGATGGAGTTGTTGAAGAGGGAGAGGGAGGTGAGGGTTTGGATGCGGCAGAGGAAGGAGGGGAAAGGGCCGGCGAGGAGGGCGTTGGAGAGGTCGACGGCGGTGACGTGGGCGCCGTCCGGGGAGCAGAGGACGCCGTTCCAGGAGCAAGGGGTGGGGTCGCGCTCGTTCCAGGAGGAGAGGGCGTCGTTGGGGTCGGAGAGGCCCAGCTTCACCCGCTGCAGGAACAGCCCGTCCTGGTTCAGGGACACGGCGGCGGGTGTGATGCTCAGCACAGAGAGCAGCAAGATTAGGGAGGGAAGCGCCATGGTTCCCGTTTTCTAATTCCGGAAGGGCAATGGGCCGGCGAAGCTGCTGCTTGGCTGCTGCTGCTTCTTCTTCTTTTCTTTTCTTTTCTTTTCTTTTTTTTCGCTGCTGCTGTGGAGTGGAGTGTTTGGAATCTGTGGAATTTGTTTGCCTGTGCAGAAGCTATAGCTCTTTGGTTTTGAGCAGAGCAGCATGGGGCCCGCCATTCGGTGCTGGGTGGGGGCCTACGTGGCAATGCCATAATAATAAATTAATTAATAATGCATATGCTGCCACATAGTCAATAGTCATACGTGGGTGGGCGTGGCAGTCAAATTTGGTCAGTAAATGGGCGGAAACAGAACAGTGCAACTGAAAACAACAGACGGACACGTCCGACAGGCAGGTTCCCTCCCCTCTCTCCCATTCCATTCCATGCCTTGCCGATTCTTCTTTCTCTCACTCACTCGTCACCACTCAACTACATATTGTTTGGAATAATGGATTTGGCTTTGGATGTGGAAATGTTATGCAGTATTTGCATTATGTGGTAATTGGGTTAAAAATCCATGATTGGAGAGCAAAAAAGTATGGAAATTGGACTATGGAAATTGGCTTCAATTATCACATTCATGGTAATTGAGAATACTACACCTCCCCCTAATAATTTGACATTACCATGTTTTCTTTTTCTTTGTTCCAAATGTGCCCATTTGTCCTTCCTATTCTTTCTTCCTTACTTCTTCCCCGATTTCCCCAACTTATTTCTTTCAAAAGTAGCCCCTTATTCTTCTTCATTCAACAATGACGTCTCTTCTTCATCTCCCCTCACCTTCGCATATCTCCTCTCATCTGTCGTCAATTTATTACTTTTGGATTCGCTTAATTATCTCATCTGTCGTCGATTCTCCTATTTCTCTTCATCGGATTCGCTTAATTGGAATGTCGACTAAGAGGAAAAAGCCGATGTAACAAAGGCAATTAGTAGTTAGTAGAACACAACAACAACCTTTAGGAGGGGTATGCATATAAAAAAAAAGAAGGCATTTTTGCATTATCACCAAATTCCACACCATAAATTTCCACAAAAATAAATCTTATCCTAACGTGGTATTTCGTTCAATTTCTGCAAGTCAATTCCTTGGTTTTGTAAAACATGAAAATTCATCCAAATTTCCACGTTTTCAAATTTCCACATCCAAACGACCCCTAAAGTCTTTTTTTGGTTCACTTTGAGTTAGAATGCATGTATTACCTTTTTGTTGGGCCCACCTATAATCACTCAAAATGAATGATCATAAATCTCTACCAAAATGTGAGATTGTTAACAAGGGATTGTCTACCCTATTTTTTGTTTCATCATTGCTCCTCCAAACAAAGTATTTTCCTAATACATGCATTGAATCAATACATCAAATGGTAATACACAAATTGAACAAATGCATCTATTTGGAGAATCTCAACCTCCAAACATGCCCTTAATGTTTATTTTAATTCAGTGTTATTTCCAAAATCAATAAAAAATGAGTTATTTTTAATAGTTCATCTTTACGGTGTGCAGGAAGCACTACTTCAAAAACTGGTTTCTAGTCATGTTATCTTATTTATGAGAAGTTTTTCGTACTGAAACGTGTACTAATAATCATGAGAAAATTGTCTATAATTAATTGTATACTTATAGTCGCAGAAATTATTTTGAATTTTATAACATTCATTTACCGTGATTAAAACTTAAACACCATAAGTTCCCGTGAATAATGTAACCATTTACCTTTGAGAAAATTCACCAAATTTGTGGAGGGATAATTTTGTTTCCCTCCAAAATTTCAAGGGGAACTTTACTGTAACACCTCGATTCTCTAGGTTAGGTTCGTCCTTAAATCGATTTGGTTCGGACTTGGGTAAGATAATACCCATAATGAATTGGAGGTTTATTTTAATTAATTGATTAGTCCTAAGTAAGGATTAATGGATTTTAATTAAAATATATATAAAAAAGGGAATAAGGGAAAATCGCCACTCTCCACCCGGTGCTCGTTAAATCCCTCACCCCACAATTAACCTAGCAAAAACTTGGCCCACAAAATTCCTACCAAAACCTGGCCGCAATCGGCAGCGAATTAAAGAGATGAGAGGGGCGGCAGTGGTGAGCACGGTAACAACCCTCGCTTTCTCTCGTTGCTGAACCATCGCCAACATGCCTAACAACTACGCACCGGAAAAAGAGCTCAAACTCAGGCGGGAGGAGGCTTTGATCGATGCTATGGAAAAGAGGAGGGGACGCTAATTGGGTACCGTGATAAGGCAAGTGCAAGTATTACGTCGAGAGAGATGAGGCACCTGGGTGGATCCTTGTCCATTAGCGGTGAGCAAATGAGAATGGAAGTAAACAAATTGGGAAAAAATCCCAAAGTAAACTAGTTCTTAAAAAAAATTCCCAAAATACATAAGTTATAAAAAAAATTCCCAAAGTACACATGTTTGAGCATCACCGTTTTAGACAAAAGCGGTGAAGGTCATCACCGCTTTTGACCAAAACGGTGAATACTTCACCGTTTTTGTCTAAAACGGTGATGTATTCACCGTTTTGCTCTCCCACGGTGAAGCAGTCACCGTTTTGCTCTCACGCGGTGAAGCAATCACCGCCCTTCTCTGACGCGGTGAAGGCCCAAACATGTGTAGATTGGGAATTATTTTCATAACATGTGTATTTTGGGAATTTTTTTTAAAAACATGTGTAACTTGGGATTTTTCCAACAAATTGTTCCCCTCTCCCAATTAAAAAAAAAATTCATGACATGGGACCAGTACGCAAAAGGGGTTTACATGAGTTGAGATGGTGGTGATTTGGGAGATGGATACTAAGTAAAGTGAAGTGAGGCTTAATTACGTGGAGTGGAAATGCTAAGGGCTAGGATTAACTTTGAGCATTATAATTATTGTCGTATGTGGAGTGCAACTACTAACTAGGTGAGTTCTATGTAGCTAAGGCTATGGATGAAAATCTTATGATGATTATGCCTAAGTGTTGCCTGTGGGGATGAAGAATAAGAGGCATATGCGAGGATCGACACTTGGATAGTGTCAAATCCAAGTCAACCAATTTAAATAACATAAGGTGAGTGTAAAGGTGATAATATCTCAGTCGTAGGCCTTTTAATATATGCCTTTTGTTTCAAGCTATTAATTAGTTAATTTTGAGTAATGCGCGATATGTGTGTGAGGCATCCCATTGCCTACTTAAGGGTGGAGGCACGGATTGTGCTATGTATGGATGTATGATTGTAATACTTGATTAATGGTAAGATAAACCTCAGGGAGGTTGGGCCACTACTGGACGCGGTAGATGGTCGGGTCACTGCTGGACGGTGAGACGTAACGTAGCAGTTGATCGAGTATGTGAGGGTAACTATTGGATGTTGAGACGTAACACAGTGTCATTGCCGAGTTTGTGTATGCAAACGGACGACGAGACGTAACGCGGTTGGCATACTAGAGTAGGGACACCGGACGGCGAGACGTAATGCAGTGGGCCTAGGTTCTTGTGTTTGAGTTAATGATAGAAGTCAAGAACTTCTATGAGTTATGCCGGAAATAAAATATTAAGGATATAAGTAGAGAAATTTTATAAGATAAGATAGGAGTAAAGATCTCTTATAGACTGTGTTGATAACAAAGTATAAAGGATGAAAGCGAGAACGACTTTTGTCTAAGTCAAGAACCCTAATAATGTGTTTAGTAAGGGTTTGCTTAGGGAAAGACCTTAGGTAGTAACAAAGAGATTGACCCCTTCTCACTCACCAGGTTGAGGAAGGGTTAAGGATGAGGATTTCGAGAAGAGGCAGAGCGAGGCGAGAAGCCGCACTAGCATTGGCGAGCTAGAGTTAGATTTAGTTAGTTGTCTTATGTATCATGACTTAGTGAAGCTTAAACAGAGTTTTACATACTAATGGCTATTACACAGTAATTATAAACTAACTACTTAAACGAACCAACTACAGAACGCCACTTGTCTAATACATAGTGTAAACGAACTCCAGCTGACTAAGGGAAACGATTGCGTTCTGGATCCATCATTATTTTCCGTATTGAAGCAGAACGCAACCGTTTCAACAATACACTAGTCCTGCCTTTTCTTCACAACAACATAGGCTTCTTGATTGTCTTCTTCTTCTTTCACCTTCAAGTTGTTGCTGCAATCATCTCAGGCTAGTTCTCTGTTACCCTCTCTCAAGCTAGCGAGTGTCTTCCAGATACTCCCAGTTTGCTCATAAGAAAAAGAAATCTATCAATGGCAAGACTCTTGGTGAACAAGTCTGCCAACTGATGTGTTGTTGACACATGATTCAAGTTTATCAAACTATTCTGCAACCTTTCCCTTATCACATGACAGTCCACTTCGATGTGTTTGGTCCTTTCATGGAATATAGGGTTCTTCGCTATGTGGATGGCAGTACGTCTATCGGTAAAAGCAGAGTAATCAGAGGCATCTATCAGTTTATTCAATGTTGTCAGAACCAAACCAGTACATGAACCGGTATAGTAAGTGGTTCGCACTTTATTGGTTTAACCGGTACTAAGTCGCTATAAACCCGTTAACAAACCGGTGTCTAATAAATAAAATTATTATAAGTAGAAGCCAATAATAGTATTATAATTATATATTTATTATAATATATTCCTAACAGAAAATTATATATAACAAGTAAAGAATATCATTTTACATAAATATAAATTATTTAAGTGTGGTATTTATGATTTTTCAAAATTAAACATTGTGTGATGATTAATAAAAGGATTTGTTAGCTTTTGACTCACAAACAAGTGCTAGACCTATTGGCACAAGGTCTGATTTGCACCCATTGGTGCTGGGTTAAAATCCCAGCTCTCTCATATTTGTCTGGATTTTTGTCTCCTAATAATTTGGTTAGATAGGATTTCGACCGACAAAATCGGTTGAGCGGTTGAAGTGGCTTGTCTAGTTCAACCGTTTGGTTCAAGCACAAATTGAAAGATTGACTCGTGACGAATAAATAGCTTGACCCGACCGGATTCGAGGGCGGGTGACGGTTTTACAGGTCAGACCGCCCTGTCCGATCCGGCTTTAACTCCATTGGGTTTATCCTCCAGTAGGAGAT